GAGCTCATCTCTAAATAAGGGCAGCCGATGGGACACGAAGAGCCCTGGGTTTGCCATTCTGAAGCTTAGCTCGGGACTCACCCTCTCCCCATCACGTCCTCGCACCCCTTTAAAAATCGTAGTGAAGCACACATAGCGCAAAGCTGAGCACTTTTACCATGTTAAAGCGTGACGTGCCACAGCGTTAGGTGCACTCAATACTCTGGGACCACCCCCCGTCCGTCTCAGAACTTGACCTTCCCAAACAACTGCCCCTGGAGCCACCCCCTGGGCATTTCCAGTGCTGTCGGTTTTTAATTCTACCGCTTGAGGGCGACAAAGGACCAAAGGTGACAGCCGGGTTGTTAAGGGCTGGGAATCTCCGTGGCTGTCCTCACGGTGGAGGCTGGGCCAGACTTGCCCATGGGGGCAGCAGGAGGGGGAGAGAGCGGGAGAGCCTCTCAGCTCCCATGAGTGTTTAGGGGTGATGGGTGTGGGGGGCCCAGGGCCCCAACCTTCATCTTAACAACCCAAGGCAGAGCCGAGCCCCCCTCCTGCGACGGGTGAGAGCTGGAGGCTCGGAGAAGGCGGGTCCGGCCTCCCCCAGGCCGCACGACACCTTTTCAGCCATCCGTTGGGGGTTCATGTTCTCTCCTCACTGACTCCCGCGTCCGACGCCTCTTCCAGGACCCCTGCCAGCGAGAACTCTACGACGTGCTGAACAAGCTGGCGCAGGAGCAGCAGGCGGCAGCGGGAGACAGACTCCACAAGTTCTACCTGCCCAACTGCCACAAGAATGGGATGTACCACAGCAAACAGGTGCGTGTCCCTGGGGCGGCCCCCCAGCCCTGCCAAGCCCTGCCTTCCTCCAACGTGCTGTCCAGTTCCAGAGATGCCCCGAGACGGGTTCCAGGAGGCGAGGTCCGGCCCTCAGGCTCTAGGAGCCCCCAGCCCCTCGGGGACACCACCCTCGCCCACGGGGCCCTGGGCTGGGCTTGTCATTTAACTGCCCCCGCAGGTGGGGCTTCACAGGCCCCTCCTTTCCTAGACTTGAGTGTCTCACTTGCCTCGGGAGGGGAGGAAACAGCTCTGTTTAGTATCTATTTGAGCGTCTCTTACTTTTCCCCTGTCATGAAGGGGAAGGGACTCTATGATGAAACACAATAGCATTTTAAACGAGATCAAACAAACCCAGACTCCACCCGAGGAGCCCTTCGGGACTCAGTGAAGCGCAGGATCTGGGTGTTACTGGGGAACCTGAAGACTAGGCCGAGCTTCAGAGCAGACCCAGATTTTGTGGGGGGATTGGAGAGGCCGTGTGGCCCTGCGGACGCCAGGACCCCCGGGGCAGACAGCTGTGCACACACCGCTCCGTTCTGCACACGTGTGGAATCCTTAACTCACCAGACACTTGACCTTAGTCCCCATTTTACGAGGGGAACCAGGAGGGCGTTGGGTTGCCTTTGGCCGTGGTCACGGCTGGCGGGTGGTGCCCGTGACCCGAGCTCCCAGCCTCGTGCCCCCGGGGTGGTGCCGGGCAGCAGGGAACGCCGGCTCCCCCGGCTTCTGCCGGCCGCTCTGACCTCGAATCTCTTCTCTGCAGTGTGAGACGTCCCTGACCGGAGAGATCGGGTTCTGCTGGTGTGTGTACCCCTGGAACGGGCAGAGGATCCCAGGGTCTGTGGAGGTCCAAGGGGACCCCAACTGCCATCAGTATTTTCAGAGAACGTGAGCAGCATGACCTCTTCCCGCAATGAAATATTTAAGTACCTAGTGTATTCGTGCTCCAGGACACGCACCTATCAGGATACGTGTGTGTATCTATAGGAGCCACGTGCATACTCCACATACTACTTGCTGTGTGAAGCTGTAGTTTATTTATTCACCGTAGGTTTATTTTTTTCTACATAGTAACTTGTGCTACATTAACTTATATATGATGAAACATGTCTCACCATGTTGTATGTAGATCCCGTGTTTTAGCTGTTGGTGAAGAACACGGGGCGATCCTGCCTAGCAATGCAAAATCAAGGGTGTGGCTGTGATTTTTTCCAGGTGACGCAGTGACTAACTTTGTATGTTCCAAGGGTTTGGTGTCAGTTTGCGGGGAAAGTTAAAGGTTGATTCTGTGATCCCGGGAGGCCTCGGCGACGTTGTTACATGTGAGGGAACGCATTGGATACATTGTTAAACACACTCGCACAATGTCAACAAATAAACATCCTGCTCAGAAACTGTTACTGCTGTGGACATTTGTGCCCCCCCCCACGCAGCTCCCGTCCCAGCTGCCAGGGGGACTGCGCCACTGAGGTCCCCAAGGCCCCCAGGGCTGGGTCCCCCTCCCACCTCCTGCTGCCCTAACTTCTCTGTTCACCCCAATCCCTTCCACTTGTAAATAGGCTGAGGTTTCTCCCATCTGACACACAAGGCAGAGGCACTTCTCAGTTAGCCTCTCCTCTCGGCCCCCCTCAGCCTCTCCTCTCGGCCCCCCTCACCCTCTCCTCTCGGCCCCCCTCACCCTCTCCTCTCGGCCCCCCTCACCCTCTCCTCTCGGCCCCCCACCCTCTCCTCTCGGCCCCCCTCAGCCTCTGTCCCCTGCAGGCTCCAGTGGCCTCCTCCAGGTGAGCCCTAAGCGCAGGGTCCTCTCTGCTCCTTGGATCCTTTCTTCCTTAAATGGTCACCCACTTCTTTTTCCTGACTCTGCCCCCCACCCTTGGCTGTGTGTAGGGGGGAGCCGAAGACTTTCGTCACCCAGGTCCCCTCTCTGCTGTCACAGCCCCCGGCCCCTCCCTCTGACTCCATGGTGCCAGCTGCCCTCAGCCCAATCCCCAGAACTGATCTGTGAACTCAGTGTCCAATGTCATAATATCTGAGGGACATAGACACAAAATCTTGACAAAAATGGTAGCAGACGGGCTCCAGCCACACATGAAAATAACAGTTCACCTTCCTGAACTTGAAGGTGGAGTCCAGGTTCCCCACAGGAACGGCTGAAGTTGTACAGAAGTAGCCGGGCCGCTGGCTCCGTGGTTGGCTGTCCGCCCATTGGCACCAGGAGGTTGCCGGTTCGATTTTCGTTCAGGGCACATGCGTGGGTTTTGGGCTTAACCCCCGGCAGAGGGCCTGCAGCAGGCAGCCGATCGATGTTGATGCTTCTCTCTCATCAATGTTTCTACTTCTGTCTTCTTCTCCCTGCCTCTCTCTCTAAAAAATATATATATTCATTATAATTATAAAAAAATTGTAAAGAAATAGAAATAAAATAGGACATTCTCTGCATTCACATAACCGGGGCAACACTGCAGGCTGCTTCCTTCCAAGCGTGTGTGTGTGTGTGTGTGTGTGTGTCGTGGACACAGGACAATTGCATCCTGCTCATTTTTGCCCCCCCCAAGAATTTCCCCATATTATTAACATCAGTGATATTGAGCGGTGGCCTGGCGTTACGTTCAGTCCGAATGTCCTGTGCTCTGCGCACCTGGACTGCCTCCCGGATGCCAGGGGTCTGACAGAAGGAGAGAACATCTCTCTGGACACGTTGTCACCAGGGAAGCCCGTGTCAGGACACCCTTGCCGGGGCCATGATGGTTATTTTTCATGGGTGTCCATTTGCTAGTGGAACCCTGGAAGGCTGTGCCGTGGCACCTGCGTGGCCTCGACCCCGTGGGTGGAGCCGCCGCATACTCTCCACGGTGCGTGTCTGGGGACAGTGCCTGGGGACACAGCGTGGGGTGGGTGAGAGCTGGATCCTGGGAGGGCAGATCAGGAGAGGAGAGCCAGGTGCAAAGGTCACGTGTTCACCAGATGTGACAGGAGGACACTCAGGAGACGAGTGACCAAGGTGTGAATGTGGTGAGGTTGGGGTGAAGGAGGCATGTGATGGGTGCCCCGAAAGTCTAGCCTGGGGGGCTCACAGCTCCTGCCCGGGGTTCCCACACTGGCGGGCGCCCAGGCCCCATCCAAGCACCCCGTGGCCCACTGGCTCCTGCTCCCCCTGCTGGCCATGCCCCTCCCTCTGGCCTCAGGACTTGGCAGGCACCCCAGCCCTGGACCCCCCCTCCTTCCTGGTTCCCATGTCACCTCCCCAGGAGCCCCCACCCCAGGTCTCTGGAGAGTTATTAAGGGTTCAGGAATGACCACGTGTGATTCCTCGAAATGGAGTGTGCCCTTCAATGCCCCAGTCACAGGATCAGAGCCCCAGCCCCTGCCTCCCTCCTTTCCAAGCAGAGACCATGGGGAAAGGCCGCCAGGCCGCACATGTCCCCTTGTGCCTGCCCAAGTGGTGACAGACAGGACATTGGGGTCACAACCTAACTGCAGCAAGGGCCTCAGAGATGCACCTGCTGATGTGCCCCGACCCGAACGTGACCAGCGGAGGCTCGGGCCACCTGAGTTCACTGTAAACCTCCAACTAGAAGGACATCAGACCCTCCAAACCCGAGCCAGTCACTGACACAGGGAGAGGGTTTCTTCACGGTAAAAACTTTATTAACCAATATAAATACATGGCGAGACAAATTTCTCAAAAATACTTTTTTTTTGTTTTTGAAAACTTGATTAAAAAAATAAAGAAAAGCTAATAGGCAGGATGCCTGGAGTCCCCTGTGTGGAGGCGGGTCGTGGGTGGCCACAGGGCCTCCTCTGGGGGCACCAGCGCTTCCTTGGCGTGGCTGTGGCCCGGTCTCTAACGTGGCTGACGTCTCATCTAAGGCTACCTAGTGCAAGTCCTATTATATTTGGACTATGAAGCATACAATGGTGACCGTTCACGAAGGCATTTCTGACTATGTGTGAACCAGAAGGGAGAGTGGGGCGATTCTGCGCTCCCAAGGCCTCCGCTGTCTCCTGATTAGATACAATTATTACTAGTATTTGTTACATTGTGTCAAAGAGGACGGAAGGTGAGGGATGAACGTAAACCTCCTTTGCCTTTAAGGAGCTTATCCTCAAAAACAACCTTGGTCTTAAATTTTTGAGTGGGAAAAACACCCTTTTCTGCCGTCATCCGAAGCATCACTGTGCTGCTGTTTGGGACACCTCTGAGAAGGGAGGTATGGGGCTGGTCCCCCGTCCCCCGTCCCCCGCCCAGCAAAGGGCGCGTCCTCAGGAATCTGCTCAACGTAACCACCTCTCCAGGTGCACAGGTTTCTGAGCACGCTCTTGGTCATTAAAAAAAAAAGACCCCACCTCATTGTCTCCACGTGTCCCCAAGCAGGACAGGTCACCGGAAAACAGGAGCTCTCTTCCGGGTGGAGGGGTGCGGCCTTGGCTCCCGGCAGGTGCGCCAGATGTGCGGACGCCCGGGGGCAGGGGGTGCTGCCGTTGGGAGGCCTGCGCTCCCGGCACAGGGGGGACACGGCGAGTGTCCGCCGCAGTCTCGGGGATGCTAAGGTGGGAAGTTGCGGGTTGGCCACGTCAGCCGACGTGGGGTCCAGGGCAGTGTGCGCTTGAGTTTATAAGCAGGTTCGAAAGAAGCAACGAGAAAAATCACACTGTTTCACTGGCTACTTGAAAGCAGAAAGCCGCTCAGGTTCACCGTCTAGAACCTCAGGCCTTTCAAACACCTATCTTTTCCTAAACTCTGATTTAAAAAAGAAACTGATTCACCACAAAAAGAAATAGAAAATCGAGGCTGAGCCAGCTGCTGATAGTGTCCTTGGCAGTCTTTTGTGCAAAATAGGCGTATTTGAGCTCCACGTGCGCTGAAACAAACAGATAAAGGAATATGTTGAAGTAACTCCCCCTGACATCGGAAGGGATCCACTCCGGCCCAGGGGCATCAGACAGGACATCCAGGCCCACACTTTTCACAAAGCAAAGAGCCTGCAAGATGCTTGCCATAGTCGCCCTAAATTTAGAATTACTTTTTCCAACTTGCAAGGAAAGAAAACATAACTAAAAATGAAATTTCCTTCTGTTGACTTAAATTTGTCTTGGGGAGATGAAAGGAAACATATTTATCTATTGTCCCCCCACCAATTACTCTCAGTTATTCAAAGAGAACACTGACTATGAGAGCATTCTTCAAACGATGCTTTAACGTTTCGTTTGTATTAGATTTAAAAAATGTTACTAAAATTCTATTAGCCACAGATGATCAGAATATCCATAATGTATATTATGTAATATAGGGACCATGGGCTTGCAGGGAAGTCTTCACTCAGAGTCTTACGCGGAGCGTGTGGGAACGCCCGCGTCCCGTTCTTTGTAATGAAGAGCCCGGTCTCCCAGACACGTGGGCACAGGCCCCCTGCCTGCTCCTGCTGTTGGGTCAGGGCCCCCTCACCTTCCCCAGGGGTGTGTCCTTTGGGTCCTCAGTCCTCAGCCCCCCCCCCCAGGGCTGAGGGGGAGCCGCCCGGCCCCAGGCTCACCTGGCCACGTCACTTGCTCTCCACGCTGTCACAGTGGACGTCCCCTTTGCCCTTCGGGTCGTAGCCCGGGAGGGGCTGCCCATATTTGTCCACGCACCAGCAGAAGCCGCGCCTCCTGCCTTTGGATGGGCGGCACTGTGGACGGAGCAGAGAACGTGGTGTGAGCCCCGGGAGGCCCACAGTGGGGCCCTGGTTGTGGGGGGGGCCCAGAGGTTTCCCAGCAAGGCCTGCCCTGCCCGGGGAAAGCGCCCCAAGAGGCGGCCAAGCCCGTGTGTGCGCAGCGAGGGTCTGCCTGCGGGTGTGCGGGGACAGGTGGGCGGTTCGGTGTCCCTCGCGGTCGTGGGTAGACATGACCCCTCGGCCTGCAGGCTTGTGTGAAGGATGGGACGGCATCCCATGTGCCCTGTGTCCGCCAAGCCTGGCTTTCAGAGCACAGCCCACGCCTCAGACACTCAGGGCTCCCAGCGACTTTGCTGAATAGTGAAGGAGAGGAAACAGGTGTGGCAGGAGGTCAAGGGAGTGGTGGCCACTGGAGAAGAGGGGCCTCTGATGGGCCACTGTGGTGACAGGCTGTTCTGTGGCTCATTCTGCAGATGCCTGGACGGACTTGTCCAATCAGAAAGCTGGACAGTTGTCATTGTGGTCTGTGGAGGCCACTGACTGTGGCTTAAAATACCTCCACCTTGCCCTGGCTGGTGTGGCTCGGTTGGGTGTCATCTGGTGCAGCACCAGGAGGTTGCTGGTTCGATTCCCAATCAGGGCACATGCCCAGGTTGCAGGTTTTGGCTCGATCCCCAGTAGGGGGTGTGCGGGAGGCACCCGATTGATGTTTTGCTCTCACATCAACGTTTCTCTCCCTCCCTCTCCCTTCTCTCTCTTAAAAAAAAAAAAATCAATTAAAAACACACCTCCACCTCCACCATGTATGACCCTGACAGCTGGTCAGTCAGCAGTGGGAGGGCCTGGGGGAGGTGTCTCCAGGCAGCTCTGTCACATGCCCGCATGTCACCTCGTGAAATTTCTCTGCAACAGTTAACGTCCCTCCATGACTCATGTGCTCAGGAAGGTGCTAGGGTGTCTGTGTCCCTTCATGGTTATAAAGGGGAACGTGGCACTGCTGGGGGGGGGGGCTGCGGCCAGGACTCAGGTGGCTTCCCTTCCCCTCTGTGGGAGGGACGGGACCTCAGGACACGCACCTGCTTCTTCTTGTAGAAGCCCTTCCTGTCGCAGTTGGGGATGTGGATGCCCTTGGGGCTCAGCGTGTNCCAGAACCGCACCTGCTTCTTCTTGTAGAAGCCCTTCCTGTCGCAGTTGGGGATGTGGATGCCCTTGGGGCTCAGCGTGTTCAGGAACTTGAGCTGGTTCATCGTATCTTCCATCTCCCGGCGGCANTCAGGACACGCACCTGCTTCTTCTTGTAGAAGCCCTTCCTGTCGCAGTTGGGGATGTGGATGCCCTTGGGGCTCAGCGTGTTCAGGAACTTGAGCTGGTTCATCGTATCTTCCATCTCCCGGCGGCAGGGCCCCTAGTGGGGTGGGGACCGTGGTCACTCGGGAGCTCTGCTGCCTTATCAAGTCCCCTCCGCCCCGAGCCTCCCTGGGGGACCCGCAAGTGTCTGCAGCCTGACTCAGTGGTGACGGCTCCCGTGGAGTCACCAATCGTGGCCCCATCTCTCGAGTGTCCCTAGACAAGGCTTGGAGCCAGGGATGGTCACTTCGGCCAGGACACTCGGAGGCCAGGGGAACAGACCCAAGCAGGGTTACGGGGACACTTCTCTTTAGCACAGAGGCCTGTGGGCCCAGCATGCACTTTACCAATGGTATCTACCCGGGGCCCCCGAGGCCTCCCTTAGGGCAGGGTCACTGTCTGGTCACTGTCCTGGGTGTTAGGTGGGGCTACAGCCGCCCCTGCACCAGGACGGGGTGTGCCCAGGGGTGCCAGGCCCTCCCGCCAGCACCGGGAGGGCAGAGGCCGGCTCTCACATATTCTGTGTCCTGCTTGGACTCGGAGGAGAAGTTCTGGGTGACGGTGCTCTGGGCCTCGTAGTCGACCTTGTAGCGCTGGCTGTCCTTGGCCTGCCCCTTCCTGATTACGTCGATCTTGGTGTGGCCGGGGTGGAACTTGGAGTCGGGGGCCCGGTGTGTGCCGGAGATGGCCGGGCTCCTCGCAGTCACTGTGCTGGGCTCTTCCTCAGGTTCACTGCCGTTTCCTGGAAAGACACGGGGACAAAACCTAACGATGAAGCCAAGTCACATCTCAGTGGAAATGTCATTCAACAATCCCAGGTACATTCAAGAAAACACCTTGATAAGTTGTCGCCCTCATACTAGTAGCCGTGGCCCCGAGAAGCATCTTTTAAAATGAAATCTCAGGTGAGAACTGAGGAGGCAGCGTCTCCTCCACCAGCAGGGGGCAGAGCTGAGCCCCGACGGGCGCTCCCCGCCCTTCCCCGCGCGGAGTCAGAGGTGCTGGGCGGGCAGCCCCGCAGGAATCCCACCCCAGGGGGCCAAGGTGCCCCAGGCAAAGGGCTGGGTAAGGCGCTTTGCTCCAAATCTGGACTCCGGGGCGTGTTGGCTGGTGTCCAAGGCCCCCTGCACGTCTCTAGCTCTCGGTCCAGCAGGGCCCCGACACCCAGCGGGGCTCTCAGGCCCTGCGCCCTGGGGCACCTTCCTGGGCGTGTTCTTCCTCCGGGTGGGTGCGTTAGTAACGGGACACGGCTCGCGCACGGCTCACAGTCCCGAGCGCCACCTCCCGCAGGTCCCCTCTGTAATCAACGCGGCGAATGAAGAAAACCTGAGCTGACAGCCGTGCTGGCGTGTCCCAGGTGCAGGGTTTTAACTACGCTGAGCACGTGCGTGGCTGGTGTGGAGCCAGGACCCTCGCTGTTCCTTTCCCAGGATGACCTG